ATAAAAATAAAAGYATTTAGAAACATACCACTTGCAGTTTAAATTTAATTAGAGGGAAAATCAATACCAGAGTGGAAAGAGCACCTTTATTTTAATAACCATACGAAGTTCATTATGTCAGGGGTTATATCGGCCGAGAAAACTCAAGCTTAAAATTGACAAATTTACAGACGTTTTAGCGTATATTCCCAGACATACAAACCTGTCTATATATTTCTATATAYCAACAAGGTTATATCTAAAATGTCAGTCTATACCTTCAAAACAGTGAACTTTTTAAGAGCAGGTGTCTTGCCCAAAAAAGAGTTAATACCAATTTGTTATTTTGCTTTTTTTTTAATGAAGTTCTTGCGATAGTCRTGTTTTTATTACAATTTCACATAATGAATAGCGTGCAAATATTCAGCTGTTTATGATCAAGGGATTATTAAGAAGGTGGTGTTCAATAGCAACTCTTTTTATTAATTTAATGATGAAAGCACAGCTGCTTATTTACACACTGGTTAGTATCAAAATTACTCTCAAAATATGTTTTACTTCGCAATCAGAAACTTCCATGCTGTCTAGTATATGAATTGCAACCGTTGAAAACAAGCAATTTTTTTTTTTTTTTTTTTTTTGGACCAAATAAAACTGTACAGTTATAGAAAAAATTACGTTGTTTAATTTTAGTACAATTTCATGCACCCCAGCGCACGGTGTCGCTGCCTTTTCGCCACGAATTTCTTTAGATATGTTTATTTTTGTAATTTTAGTGGGAGACTATCAACAGTTTTTTGGAAGCATAACAAAAAAAAAAATTTAAAAAAATTAAAAAATTGAAAATATAGTTATTAATTTCTAAGTTTAGAATCGTAGTTCAAGTTCAATTCTCATCTCCTAGTCGACTGCACCGTATGTGCTAGTTTGTGCTCTGTCTTCACAGAAGATTTTCTCAAATTCTGACCAGTTTTACAATGATGATAATGATTATCAATTTTCTTCTGGTGCTGCTAACAGGTAAAGGAATGTTTTTGCTAATATATGGYGCGTTTTCTTGTTATTGAAGAGAAAAGTTTTAAGCTTGACACGAAAATATTCTTTCTGTTGGCATAAAATCTGCTGAATTCACTCGAGTGACCACGGAGTACTGATTTTTAGCCAAGATTGACTTGGACATTTTCTGCTGCAATTCTTTACTTGATTGTAAATTTCACTTCAAAACCACCTCGCTTTTGTGKTCATTCAATTCAAGTAGATTAGGGGAAATTGCCATCCCATACATCGAATAAAAAAGTAAATGAGGACTTTGGTTTTATTTATGTGAGGGCG